GGCCGGAATTGGGGTGTGGATGAAATAAAGGGTTGGGACTCGGGCCCCAGATGGGACAGGGGCTGGGCCTGGAAAAGCAGTGGGGACATTGTAGTCTCCCTTTGAATTGGGCAGACATTGGAAATTCCATTGAACAAGAAAGGAGGAGACTGTAAAGTGTAAGACCTTTCAGTGACCCAGGCATTAGCCACCAGGGATTCGCTGTGCAGAGAGGGGAGGCCCCAGAAAAGCTGGCTATAATTCTTCTGAAAACTTTCCTGCAAGATCCTAGGATCTGAGAGCTTCTGAGGACTGGGCAGCTGTTTCGAGTTCTTGCCCATGTTCCAGAAGGGTTTTGGGGTTGTGGGGTCCTGCTCAGCATCCAGTGATTTAACCAAATTCCCCAAAGAATTCAAGTGCTTTTCTGGGCTCATTTGTTTTGGAAATGATCCATCGTTTTCTTTTTCCTCCGAAATGTTGACTTTGGCTCTTTCTATGACTTGTCTACCCATGACATTCTGGCCATCAGAGTTGAGTAAAAACGGGCTACCAGCTTCCATCTGACAGGTCTCTGGTGGGTGGCGGGAAAGATGATCTTGCTGGACTGATGAGTTGAAGACGCACCAGGTTCTGGTAGTCTCCTGCCACCAGGAGAAGGTAGAAACTTGACTGTTTGAGCCGCCAAGGCCTGAGATGGCTGGGACAGAAGCCGTCAAATCCTTACACAGAGACAAGCTTTGAGGGACGGCGCCCAGTGGAAGTGCCACTGAGTCACAGTGAGATGGAATTATCAGAGTGGAGTCCCGCAGGGGAAGAGCAGGGAAAGCTTTCGGAGGAGACGGACTATCAGAGGTGTGTGGTGGGTGAGGGAAAAGTGCAGGTGGCTCGGGTGAGGGGCTTTCTGGGGGAAGGGAAGGTTCTGGTGCCTGGGAGGCACTTAGGGAGGAGACTGAAGTGGTCATTGGGCCTGGTGATGGGGTGGAGGCCAGATCCTGAGGATGCTTGGTTCGAGGATCTGGGGAAGCTAACGGGGAAAGCATGGGAGCAGCATCTTCCATAGACTCATGAGAGGACCGGGAGGCTCCATCAGGTGCTCTTTTGCCCACCTCACCTGGGGGGTCTGGACCGGAGAGCTGACCAAAGTCACCTTTGTCAGGGTGTGGCCCCAGGAGGCTGCAGGAGACAGGAGGCACAAGTTGCAGCCAGGACCAGGTAGGGCCAGGGGCAGAGTGGGAGCTCGGGTCACAGCCCCTCCACCACCCCACATCCTGACTGCCCAATTCTCCTGCTACCCCTTGCCCCAAGGTTTTACTCCCATCCTCTGTCCCTGTGGTCTCCCCATCCCAGGTCAGCTCCAGGCTGCCTATGGCCCTGGGGTCACATCCTAGCCCTGGTAGGAAGGATGCAGGGAATGGGAAGTGCCTCACCTCTGCAGTTGTGAAAACAGGTCCCAGGTTTCCTCCAGGCCTCTCGGGCGCGGTCTACAAGCTGGAAATCAGGAGACTGGGTGAGGGCAGTGCAGGAGGGGCCTGGGATCTCACAGGAGGATGAGTGCATGTTTCTTTAGGGAAGACCATGGGGAATTAGACCCTGGAACCCGCACATCTGTGTCCAGAGCCACATGGCCCCGAGGGTAATAGCAAGGCATGGCGGGCAGGGCTTTGTCATTCACAAAGGGCTTCCACACACGGACCCCCCCACCC